ATGGAGAAATCAGCATTGGTAATGAGACAGGAAACCTAGGTCTCAGTTCAGTCCAGGTGGATGCATTGTCTTGAGCTTTGTTATCAGTTGCAATTCAGCAGTCTCTTTCTAATCTCACTTTGAAATTACTTTGTAAGATAACTGCTACTTTTAGGTCAGCAACTGAACGTCCTTGAAGGTTAAAATGTTCCCTCACTGGTTTTTGAATGTTGTGGTTTCCCCAGCTGGTTGGCAGCAGGCAGAAGGCCTGAAAACTGGGGAACCCCCATCCTGACCAGGGGACTGGCAATCCTAACGCACATTCTAGCCATAGCCGAAGAAGTGAGCCAGTGACTCATGAAAGCTCCTACCCTGCCACAAATTCTGTTAGTCTTTAAGGTGCTACTGGACTCTTATTCTTTTTTACTGCTACAGACAGACTTGGACTGATACACAGAGTCTTGCATTGTTATAACAATATGAAATTGCCAAAAAAAATTTTTTTAAAAAAACTGGTGTGTGGAGGTGGCTGGGGCAGTAGAAAAGGCTGCCATGTGGATCAGCAAAACCCAGACTTCCCCACCTACACAGCAGCCATTGCTGCAATCTTTCCCCAAACTTCACAACAAAGCAGATTTAGGAAAGAGCCAAGAAAAGCCAGGGAAACCCCAGGAGCAGCACGAATGCATCGCAATGCTATGGGGAGGGTGTGTGTGTGCGAATTCCCAACAGCATCAAATCTGGGGCAAATAGCCTGTGTGGAAACAGCCACAGCTCATGCAGTTCTACTCTGCCTTTATCATTTTTGTACACTTTGATGTTCTTTTTATGTTATTAGAGTCTAATGTAGCCCTGTCGCATCAGGCGTGCCAATGTAACCCTTTTCAAAGAAAAGTGAACGTCAGCAAAGCTACCTTCCCATTTCAGCAATGCCAATGGTGGTGAGATGTGCCATCAAGTAGCAGCAGCTGACTTGTGATGACCCCATAAGGTTTTCAAGACAAGTGATGAACAGAGGCGGTTTGCCGTCGTCTGCCTCTGCTTGGCAACCCTGGACTTCCTTGCAGGTCTTCCATCCAAGTACTAACCGGGGCTGACCCTGCTTAGCTTCTGAGATCTGGGCCATGCAGGAGGAGGAGGAGGAGGAGGAGGAGG